GTATAATATATGATTTTTATTTTATAACATTATTATTAATTAAAAATAATAAAACCTGATTTTTGATTAAAAAAAGTCAAAACCTAATTATTAAAAAGTTAAAACTAAACACCTTGTTTATGGTAATTTTCTCTTTGGAATTTCAGGTTTATATTGCTCAGCATAATTGAGAACCAATTATTGAACAATAAAAGTTGCAGTACTTTGGGCCCAATTATCAGGATACTTGATGAGCTACAATACCTTGCAAATTTTAACTTGGGACAATAATTGGAAACTATATATGATGGAGAAAGGATATGGAAACTAATATTTTGTGCCGAATTAGAATGAGTATTACTGAGCAAGTTTTTGGCTCCTGTTGCAGGCTACATTTGAAGATGGACTGATAGATGAGGCTATTGCTAAAACTACAGCACAACAAAAGAAGCCGGGGAAGATGGCGACAAAAGTGGAGTGACACACTTCAGCCAAAGATATCCCAAAATTCCTGTATTTGACAAAAATCACATGCATTGCTTTCGATTTGATGAGTGCTAACTTAGCAGATTTGCCTCTTCTTCCAAAAGTATTGCAATATCTCAAATTAATGTTTAAAGATGATATGGACATTGATGAATCTGAAGATGTAGATCTTGTAACTGCAGCTGCTTAAATTAAATTATTCTGAAAAGGGGTAATGCATATTTGTCTTTTTACCATTTTTTTGTCTTTTGTCAGTTTGTTTAGTCATCATCTTTATCTTCACGTTGTTGTTTCCTCTCTCACTTCTTATTTTTTGAAATAATAATGCTACATAGAGAAGCCTTGAGTCTCATTAATTGACAAGTCACTTTAAATGTAGATATATGAGTTTTATTCAAACTGTCTTATGCATCACTTAGAATTAAGTACCAGTTGTGCTTAGGATGGCAACTTGACTCGAAAAACCCGAGCCCTGTGGTGCCCCACCACTATTGACCAGTCGCACGTTGAAGGCTTCGAATAGAATCAATAGTGTTTGAAAAACAATACCCGGGTGGAAAATTGTGTACTCTGGTAACACTAGGCCCTGCCCGGAACTTGTCATGACTTTTTGCATAGCAACAATTCTTATATACGAGGTAAGTTGTAAAATATAGAGAGTGCGATTTGTCATTTGGTTTTCTAAATTTATGTTCTGAATATCTTTGATTTTAGATAAATAGAGATGTAGCATCCATTAACGTTAATTTCCATTAGTTTTAAAACCCGGATGCACTCTAATTGACTTGATCTTCCACATGTTACACTTATTTTCATTCTAAAAATGTATTTATTAAATTGCAGGCTTACTTTGAGAATAGCATGGAGAATGAAGCAAGGTTAAAAAACCACATCACACAAAAGATGCCATGGAATCAGGCAACTCGAATGGAGTGTATCGTCTCATACTTACTTCAGCCAAAGATACTCTAAATTTCCAGTATTTGACGATTTTCACGAGAACATATGAATCAAGATAATGTAAACGCGCATCTTAAAAGAACTATAAGAAAAAGAAATGTGGCGATAGAAGAAAATTTGTAGACGGTATTAGAAATTCAATCAATTGTTGAAAGATGCAAGTGAAAATTAGATTTAAGCAAGTTGAAAAGGGCACTTTTAATCAGAAGAAATGCATTCAAAGCTTGAATGAATCAACTGATATGTAGTAACAAAAATTCATCAAATCCTAACTGGTATTTAGATCACTAAATAAATTGCTGAAAAACAGAAGTACATGGCCGGGAGGTAAGCACTCAGCAATATCAAATCATACTTGTGATACAAAAATAAAACAGCTCTCAACATCATTCAAAGAAATCAATGACGACTTACCTTTCCATACAACATTCAAGGTACTTCTTAGAGAAATATCTACCATTTTCAGATTTATGGCGAGAAGATTTTAAACAGTTGACATAATCTTTCTTCTCCTGAAATAAGCATACAAAGTGAGCAAAATCTTGCTTCAATATGTAACAAGTCAGACACTGAAGGTTAGTGTCAAACTAGACAACTTCGAGGATGTTTTGATCAGCTTATAGAGAAACAAAAAGGGTAAATTCAACCATCAGTATATTCAACGAGATCCTACCAGGTCACATAGATGCATGTGGTCTAGCGGGAACTCTCCTTTTTCGGGTGGCACTGGGCTAACTCCTCTATTACCACCAAAAGCTCCCCCTGCACATTGGCACAAGAACAGAAAATTGGACACAGTACCAACAAAAACACACAATTACTTGGCCATTTAGCATGTTCGGCCCTACCGTTCGTGCATATTCATTCAGCCTATCAAGATCCATCGGTCATCGCATCTTTCCACCAAAAGAAACTGAATTTTAGCTTCTGAGGCTGCACTTTGGGATCCTTTACAGACATTTTCAATTTGGGATTTTCATTGATCAGCAAAACATAGTTCTAATTACCAGAGAAAAATAAAAATAAAAAACATCATCCAATTTTCTTTAATAATGAAATACAAAACTATTTTTCAATTATCAATCCAGTCTGAAAACAGCTTTTACCTATTTTTCGTATTATAAGAAGTGTTACGGACTGACAGTGCTAAATCCTACTTCAGCTCATATCCTCTGCCCTATTCTTTTCATCAAACGAATTACATTTATATAAAAAATCGCAAACGAAAAATTAAGAAATGGATACTTACATTTCAAAATCGCAATTAAGACTCCAACAGGATAAGAACAAAGTCCGATTAATACAAACAATCGATCGAATTTCATTACATCAAAATGCAAATTCATTAATAGTAAAATTAAAACCCCAAGGTAATTCTATCACAAAAAATTAATTAAAAAAAACCCAACTTAAACCCTAACAGAGAGTGCGGATAATATAAATTACCTGCACTCATGCGTTAATTTTGATGGACATTATCTGTTCATGGTATAAATTTCAATTTGCGAATTTGACACAAAATAACCAAAGTCTTTGCAATGTAAACAAATTTGTAGTCCCTTTTTTAAAACTTTCTGTTTTAGCATTTTTCCAAATACAGTGGGTAAAATACGGGTAAATTTCATGAGAGGTCCCCAACCTTATGTAAGTGTTACGATTTATTGATCTTATGTCCTTAGGATATTGCTATGTGTTCGTAGCAATATCCATAGGTGTGTACATAATGTGATAGGGGTGGGGCCTGCGCTACTATGTACCATGATATGTNTATCAAATTTCAAACTCAAGCTTCCGAAGTTCTCCACCTTGAGTTTGAGGGTGAGTATTGAAGATAATATCAAATCAATATTATCTTGATTTGATATTGGCTTAATTTGATTTTCATATTTACCTTAATCACTTTGATTTGATTTGATTCTCAAAGTATTTATCTTTTCTATCTCAATGTAATTTCTCTATAAAATATAAATAGAAATATGTGGCCATTCAATAGTCTCTTGCTCTCTTTCTCTTCTCTATCTTCTTCTACATTGTATTTTGATTTCTATCACAAAGTGAGCAAAATCTTGCTTCAATATGTAACAAGTCAGACACTGAAGGTTAGTGTCAAACTAAACAACTTCGAGGATGTTTTGATCAGCTTATAGAGAAACAAAAAGGGTAAATTCAACCATCAGTATATTTAACGAGATCCAACCACGTCACATAGATGCATGTGGTCTAGCTGGAACACTCCTTTTTCGGGTGGCACTGGGCTAACTCCTCTATTACCACCAAAAGCTCCCCCTGCATATTGGCACAAGAACAGAAAATTGGACACAGTACCAACAAAAACACACAATTACTTGGCCATTTAGCATGTTAGGCTCTACCGTTCGTGCATATTCATTCAGCCTATCAAGATCCATCGGTCATTGCATCTTTCCACCAAAAGAAACTGAATTTTAGCTTCTGAGGCTGTACTTTGGGATTTTCATTTGATCAGCAAAACATAGTTCTAATTACCAGAGAAAAATAAAAATTAAAAACATCATCCAATTTTCTTTAATAATGAAATACAAAACTATTTTTCAATTATCAATCCAGTCTGAAAACAGCTTTTACCTATTTTTCGTATTATAAGAAGTGTTCCGGACTGACAGTGCTAAATCCTACTTCAGCTCATATTCATCAACCGAATTACATTTATATAAAAAATCGCAAACGAAAAATTAAGAAATGGATACTTACATTTCAAAATCACAATTAAGACTCCAACAGGATAAGAACAAAGTCCGATTAATACAAACAATCGATCGAATTTCATTACATCAAAATGCAAATTCATTAATAGTAAAATTAAAACCCCAGGGTAATTCTATCACAAAAAATTAATTAAAAAAACCCAACTTAAACCCTAACAGAGAGTGCGGATAATATAAATTACCTGCACTCATGCGTTAATTTTGATGGATATTATCTGTTCATAGTATAAATTTCAATTTGCGAATTTGACACAAAATAACCAAAGTCTTTGCAATGTAAACAAATTTGTAGTCCCTTTTTTAAAACTTTCTGTTTTAGCCTTTTTCCAAATACAGTGTGTAAAATACGGGTAAATTTCATGAGAGGTCCCCAACCTTATGTAAGTGTTACGATTTATTGATCTTATGTCCTTAGGATATTGCTATGTGTACGTAGCAATATTCATAGGTGTGTACATAATGTGATAGGGGTGGGGCATGCGCTACTATGTACCATGATATGTNGTGTTACGATTTATTGATCTTATGTCCTTAGGATATTGCTTTGTGTTCGTTGCAATATCCATAGGTGTGTACATACTGTGATAGGGGTGGGCCCTGCGCTACTATGTACCATGATATGTACACATAGCATGGTCCATGTCCTTAAGTTTATAAAATAGTGGCACTCTTATCCATAGCTAGTGTAAAATATTTATTTGAACGTTAAATACTCACGTGATGCTAACATGTTATAGGATTTAAAATTCAAACAATGTTCATGAAACGTACCTCGTTTCAACTCTTCCCAGAGACATCAAGTGATTGTCACAAACGACATTTATAACTTATTTGAAAGTGATTATTTTAAAATCTTTTTCCCTCCCACGTATTTTTAGTCGAGTTTTGCTATATGTAAATCAATGTTTACACCATTTTATATATAACATCCAAGAGATATTTCGTCATTGGCAAGTGAAAAAAAACTATTTTTTCACCAACCAATGATGAAATGCCACGTGGATATTATGTACACCAAAGTGAAATCCTTGATATACATGTAGAACGATTCTTTTTATTTTTTTTATGTTTTTTCGTTATTTTTATTTTCTTCATCATCACACATTCTTCAAAAAATACTTTCAAATAATCACTTTCACACAAGAACTTAACATTTCGATAAATGTTTTCTTATTAGCTAGTAATAGGACTGCCACAGTTTTAAAAGGTCTAGAACATGGTGTCATGAAAGTTTGAGGATCCCTAATGAAATTTATTCTATAAATACGAATGCCACCCTTCTATTATAAATCAACACAATTTTACAATTTATTTTACAGTCTGATTTGCATTCACATCCCCATATTTCTACTTTACTTTCTCGCGAAGCAGTTCAAATATACACGTAAAATTAATGTTAACACATGGTCCATATTATTTTAATATTTTAGGTACAATTTAAATTTGGGAAAATTGCAGCCATGATACCAAACATTTCAACTTTTTGCAGACTTTGTACAAACCTTTATTTTGTACCACCCAGGGTATCAAACCTTTAAACAATTGGCACCCGGAGTCCAAATGAACGGTTTACGTCGAGTTGACCACGAAAACCGTTAGTTGACCTCAGAAATAAATAAAAAATTATAATTTCCACCAAATAGGCAAGTGCAATTTTGGAATTACACACAATTTCCACCAAATAAGTTTAAAAAAATGAATTAAAAAT